TCTCTCTCTCTCTCTCTCTCTCTCTCTCTCTCTCTCTCTCTCTCTCTCTCTCTCTCTCTCTCTCTCTCTCTCTCTCTCGTGTCAGTGGGATGTGTTGCGCAGTTCAGACAGGGGTTCTGATTCGGAGTCGCCCTCTTCCTCCGACTAGCTGCCGTCTTTCTCGTCGCCTTCACTTTCACCCTCCTTGCCACTGCCATCAGTCCCATCGCTGCCGCCACTCCTGTCGTGCCCATCGCCACAGCCATCACTTTCATCGCTGCTCCCATCATTTTCATCACTGCCGCCACCACTGTCCCTTCTAGCGCTGCTTCCTCCTCGTCTTGCACAGGCTCCTTCTGCGATTGTCCCCACTTTCTTGTGACACGTGCAGGTGTAAGACCTCCTGCCAAATGGCCACCTTCCACGTCCTCAACCTCCTCATCACCTGTCCCCCCTTGAGTTGCTTCCTCCTCTTGCACGTGCTCCTTCTGCGTTCGTCCCCGCTTTCTTGTGACACGTGTGGGTGCAGGACGTCCTGCCAAATTCCCACCTTCCACGTCCTCAGCCTCCTCATCACTTGTCCCGCCTTGAGTTGCAACCTCCTTCCAAGGTCTCCCTCTCCCTCATTTGGCCGGGATCGAGGGCGGTGCACATGCAATTGCCCTCGCAGCTTTGTATTTGTTGGCATGCTCAACGGTCATGGTCCCCGTTGCGTGATCCAACTCATGCAAATGTTGCTGGGCCAGAAACTTGGAAGCCTTTGTGGCCTTCCACCATGACGCGTTGAGTTCCCTCTCGAGCTCAAGCAGATTGTTGCTCAAGCAGATTGTTGCGCAGCCGATGACGCTGGATTGTGACCTCCTCTGGAGCAGGCGTTTGTGGTGCTTCAACGGGAACGTCATCGTTGGAGCCTGAGTCATCGTTCTCACCTGCATCACGAACCGGCTCTATTCTGTGCAGTCGGGCACGCCACTCCACCAACCGCATTCTTGCGTCCGCTGCCATGATGCACTGGTTCATCCACTACCCATTTCGTAGAATCCTTATCAGCCGTCGGCTTCTTAATCAAGGCATCCAACAAACGCTGGTTCCATCTGTTGAAAACCAGGGTGCTAAGCTTGATCGCGCCGAGGTTGTTACAGAGCCGGCTATGAATTCGTTCAAACAAGCTCCAGTTGCTCTCAGAACAAGAGGAGGACGCTTGTCAAAGCAGACGAACGGCTTGCTTCTGGAGGATGGGCATGTCACTGCACCACTTCCTTCACCACCTCGCCGGCTGCATCAGATGGGCTTGTGTCCTTGCATCTTCACAATTGTGTCCCCAGTGCCCTTAATCCAAGAACAAACCTCTGGGTCGACTTGAACATACGAAGACTCTTTGCACCATCAGTAAACCCACGTCCAAAACCCATCCGCAAAATCTGCATCCGTTTTTGGCTGCGATGCTTTGTACTCCGGATCCAAGAACAGCTCAGCACAATGCAGCGGTGATGCCATTTCATTCCAACGCCGCATGATGATCTCCTCGAGTTCCTCCTTCTCCGCTTCGGCAAAGTGCTTGCTCTCCCTTAGTTTCTCCACTGCGTTGTCCATTCAGGCGTACACCTTACTAATGGTAGGGCCCGTGCCGTCGACCTTCTTTAAAAGTTTGAGCAGGTCCTTTGACGTTTGCATCACCTTCTCGACGTCTGCCCATAAGGTCTTGTCCAAGATGGAATGTGTCCCCTTCACGAACAGTTTGCGCTGTGAAGTGTGCACGATCGCTGGCTTCCAGTCATCATCTGTCGCACACGCATGCAGCGACAAATACAACCCCTGCAGGCTCGACTACATGATGACGTTGGTGGCAAATCGGGTCGCACCCAGTTTTGACACGACACTGCCATTGGAGTAGTGGATCAGGAGGTCACGCACCCGCGAATGGTTCGTCAAGAACTTTGCAACCTCCGATGCCCTTTTCATATTGCATCGACCCACCCGATCTTCACGAAAGAGTCGAACTGTGACGGGGCTGAGGCAACGAGGCTTGGAGAGAGAGGGAGAGAGTGAGAGCACACACACACACTCACTCAACTCGATGCAGACTCGACACGACTCGACGGACGCGGATAGGAAGTGGCAAAGTCGCAAAGTCGAAGTTTTGGATTTCCGAACACAATGTTGAAGCAAGTCACACCGAAGCACATGTACAGCAGCAAAAAACTGGTACGAGACTGGTCCCCGTACCGTACGGGGAGCCGGTATAAGTATCGGTGACATGTACGGTACCAAGGGCATTTCTGCAAAGGCCCCGAGGGCAGAACTGAAAAATGCGGTATTTGAAAGTGGCGCCCGAATTGCAGCATTGCGCCAATTGTCCAAAATCCTACGGTACCAAAGGAGGGGTTTGGAAAAAGGGTGCCAGGCCGAAAACGGGATGCAGCCGAAACAGCAAAAAGATAGACCAGGGATCGAGCCCTGGCGGAGTCTGTAACACTATCCCCTCCCTCTAGAAGGCAACGKCCCGGCTGCCAAAMATCATGAAGCAATGCTGAAATCTGTGAAGGACGGGATGGGGCCGATCACTGGTTAACAAGTTGAAAGGGAAGAGGGGTATAATGTGGGTGGCATGGGTTGCGGGAGTAAGAGGGAACAGGGTTTGGTACCGGTGAACAGGGTTGTCTTTGTAATGAACTAAGGGGACTGCATGGTTTGCTAGAAGTTAAGGGGGAACAAAGGTCAGGGAACAAGGAACTTCTATTGATGTTCTACTGGGTAAGGGAAACAGTGTTCAGGAAAACAGGGTATTTCTATTGATGTTCTAGTGGGTAAGGGAAACAATGGTCAGGGGGAACAGGGAATGTCTATTGATGTTCTAGTGGGTAAGGGAAACAATGGTCAGGGGGAACAGGGAATGTCTATTGATGTTCTAGTGGGTACGAGGAACAATGGTTAGGGAAGCAGGGATCTGCTAATGATGTTCTACAGGGTTGTCAAAGTCAGGAAAAATAAAAATGAAAATGTTTGTTCAGGATGCAAGGGCTGGTGTGTCCGAAGGGGTCGGAAGCAGAATCTCAGGTAGGAACAAGGTGTCCAAGCGTCTTGAAAGGGGGTCTGCAGCAGTCTTGATCAGGTCTTTGGAGTAGGTGGTAGAAGCGGTCTTCAGCGGCTGTGACAGGTAGAAGTCCAAGAAGCGTAGTCGTAGTTCAAGTGTCAAAGTCCAAGTGCTAGGGTGCGTCCGGTACATGAACCGCAATGAGGTCTGATCTGGAAGCAAGGAAGTCGCAGACTGATGCAAAGATCCATGTCAGAAGTTGCTGCTCCAGTAAGTCCGCGAGTCGGTATGTCGGCTGACGAAACAGCATGGTGGCCAAACCAGCTGCATAACCTCCATGAACAGTGAGGCAGTAGGCCATCGTCCTCGTGCGCTTGCCATTAGATCCTTTATCGCCGGCGTAACGCAAGTTCACAAGCATTGGACAAGAGAGACAAGGTAGTGGAGAGGACAAATGGGACAAGGCTAGGCGAAGGTAAGGGCAGATCAGACATCAGGAATCCGGGTCAAGGGGAGGGTGGCTGGGTTCAAGGGTGTGTGTAGAGCAGGGTTGCGAGGGTTTAGCGGGGGGTTATGCCATAGTTATATCGGTATCTAGGACATAGGATTAGCACAATCATAGGCGCGGACAAGTTCCATGGCGTTCTTAAGATTAGAGAGAGGTTCCCATGTAGATTCTTCGTCGGGGTATCCGGTCCATTTGACTTTGTATTCAGTGATTGGTTCCGGATGGTCGGATACTTGAGTAGTTCGTCAGCCGATGATGGTTTCGACAACGAATTCAGGGCCTGTGGGTAGCATGATTGGTGGAGGTCTAGGATATGGGCGGTCGGCGAAATGGGGCGGGGATTCATGGTATTCTTTTAGGTACTCGACATGGAAGACTGGGTGGACACGACTCATGTCAGGGGGAAGTTGGAGTTTGTAGTTGATGGGGGAGGTTTGTTCAATGAATTGGAAGGGACCGAGCCATTTGTTGGAGAGTTTCTTGGACAAGCCGTGTTCGGGTTCAAAGCGTTTGGCAGAGAGCCAAACTTTGTCCCCTACTTTGAATGACACGT